GGTAGTCCAAGGAAAACATGTTCATCTGTCGAAGACGCTGAGTGTAAGGCAAGTCACGGAGCGCTGAGATGGATTTCGAGCCTCGTCGCTGAACTCTTCAATCATAACACGTTCAGTCTTTGTAAAAGGGTAGGCCGCAGGCAAACCGTACTCGAGGATAGGGCGCACATGGGAAGAAAAAAGAAGTCTGAAGACCTCTGGAGTCATTCGGGAGAACGATCTCCGAATGGCACAGAACATCCTATTCGCAGCCGCTATCTTCCTCAGGGTGTCCTCGGTGGTACGCAGATCGGGAGATACGAGTATACCAAGGTCTTCCTCACAGGCAGCATTCCTGATCAAGAAACCACCGATGTGATAGGCGCCAAATGGGTCAGAAGAGCCGATCGGCAGGACCGAGCACTTCTCACGATTGATGGGTAAACGCCATTCCGAAGACCAGCTATGAAGCAGGTCTAGCTTCTCTTGCAATCGGTCAGCGGCTTCAGGTGTTGGTACCTCCATTCATATCTTCAGGTCATCGGCATAAAGCAGACAAGCGGTCTGGAGTACAGATGGAAGGTCATTAATGTAGACTTTAAACAGCTCGGGGCCAAGGACAGAGCCTTGTGGAACCCCACTGGTCATGGGAACGGAAGCGGAGTAGACCTCATTCACCTTCACTCGCATGCTACGGACATCCAGAAAATCAGTGATCCATGAGAGAATATCTCCAGAAACACCAATACTCCGAAGTTTAAACAAAAACCGTTCGTGTGGTACTGTATCAAATGCCTTCTTGAAGTCGACGAAGACAACGTCTAAGCGATTTCCGGCATCTAATGACCTGGCCCACCACTCTCTGGCAACGAGCAGGTTGGAAACACATGAGCGAGCTCGCCTGAAGCCATGCTGCGCAGAGGAAATGACATTCAAGCCGTCAAGGTGACTATGAAGGGCTCGTTTGAGAATTCGTTCCATGACTTCACAAACTATAGATGTTAAGCAAATTGGTCGATAGTTTCCGGGGTCCTGACGATTTCCACCTTTATATATGGGCTTGACGGTGCCCATTTTCCAAGCAAGCGGGAGACGCCCCGCACCAAGAGACCGCTGAAAAATTTGGCAAACAGGTACAGCGATGTACTCAGCTAGGGTTCTGAGGAACAAGTTCAAGTTCAAGCGGGACTGGAACGATAGGATAGATCCCGTGAGTGTTCCTTCTTCGGCGGGTCGTTGAGCCAGGAGTTGGCGAACTTTGAAATACTGATGGACCTAAAACAAAGACCGCATCACACCCTGTCCAACCAATTAATGCCCACGTATCCTGCCCTAGCAGTCCCTGCTGGGTCGGTTACGTGAAGTAAGAAAGAGAAAAAAGTAAACGCAGGAGGCAAAAGAGAAAGTGGTAAGAGCTAAGCAAGTGGAATACCAAGATATTTGAGTCAATAAAAAAGAAATGAAAAATGAAGGTGAGTCAGCTAGGAAAAAGGAAAGGTTTGCTGTTGCCACCCAAGAGCATCGAGCTGGCGCGCAAAACCCTTAACCGTAGGTTCCCTAACCACGTGATCTGGAAGAGAATTCCAGCGATCTATAACTCGGCGCGATAGACGAGTTTCCGTCCTAATCCTATCAGACCGTGGTTTATGCAGTTTCAGTGGGTGACCGCGGAGACTAGGTAACGTAGCGGGACTAAAAAGCCCTGACAAGTCCGGGCCAATCTTACCCGCCAAAATACGATAAGTGAGAATCAGGTCCCCTCTTATCCTTCGGTAGTGCATGGAGTACATCCCCAAACTGAGCAAGCGTTCAGGATACGTCTGTCCCCGTAGACCCTGCACTAACCGAGTGCCCACTCGTAACACCCTCTCCAAGTCCATTTTGTCTCGGTTAAGACATGGTGGACAAGCCTGAATACAATATTCCAGGTGGGGTCGGACGAATGCCGAAAATAGCTTCACAAACAACTTGGCCGTTAAGATTCCGAAAGAGCGGCGGATAAACCACATCATACGAAACCCTCGACAAGCAGCCTTCTTCCAGTTGTCTCCAGAATGAAGTGCTGATGCGTGTACGACTCCTAAATCAACCTGCTGAGTGACAACAGGGAGTTCACCACCGCCGACAACATATCGGGTGGGAGGATTAGCAGCTCCGATTCGGAGAACAGAGCACTTGGCCCTATTTATGGGCATCAACCATAAGATAGACCATTCCCAGAGTCTATCCAAGGCACGCTGAATTGCCTCAGGACCCCCCGGGATATCCACAATATTCCAGAGCTTAAGGTCGTCAGCAAACATTAATGATGACACCCCTAGCTCTCCCGGCAAGTCATTTACATAGATCGCGAACAACAATGGCCCCAATACCGAGCCCTGCGGAACGCCACTAAGGACAGCTTGCCTGAGCGAAAGGCTACGCCCCACCCGTACGCACTGTTCCCTCCCCTCAAGGAAGGCAGACACCCATTGAAGGGCGCGACCAGATATCCCGTAAGATCTCAACTTTAGTGAGAGCCGAAGATGTGGAACAGTGTCAAAAGCTTTCGAAAAATCTACGAATAGCACGTCTACAGCGTGGCCACTGTCTACCGCTTCGGCCCAGCTTTCACGAGCTACAAGTAAATTAGTCTGACATGAAAATCCTTTGCGGAATCCATGTTGTGCAACACTGAGAAGGTTGAATCGATTCAGGTGGTTCTCCACTGAATCCCTTATCAGCTTCTCGAACAACTTGACTACTACGCTTGTCAAACTGACAGGCCGGTAGTTCGCGGGTAGAGCGCTGTCACCGCCCTTAAAAATCGGACAGATGATCGCCTCCTTCCATTCCGAAGGTAGGCTGCAGCTGTCCAGCGATATTGAAAATACGCACGTGAGCGGACCACTCAGCTCAGTGGCCAGTTCATGCAACAGCTTCGGATGAATTGAATCAGGACCGGAAGCTTTAGAGGGATTAATGCCTTGCAGTAGCTCGAAGACCTGAGTCTCCGTTATGCTAAATTCAGCTAAGCAAGAATCCTCTGGAACTCTTGAAACCAATTCAACCTGTGGTAAAGAGGTCTCCCGAGCAAAGACCGCAGTATACTGATCACTCAGTATACAAGCCTTGTCATAGTCAGTTTGCGCAGGGGTCCCGTCTGCTCGCAATAAAGCTGGTATAGACAATTTTGCCCCGCTGCGTCTTTTAACGTAAGCAAAAAACTTCTTGGGATTAGCTGCGGCCGAGTCCGCTAAACCCTGCTCGTACTGGAGACGAGCAGTTCTGAGATGTTGCTTACATTTATTTCTATTCTCTCGATAACTATCATAGGTACTGGCTGATGGAGCTGCTTGGTAGGTTCGCCAGCATCTAGACCGTTTCTTGAGTAGGTACTTGCCTGTGGTATCTATCCATGGAGGCTGTGCCCTTAACCCTCTTTTCCTCATGAGTGGAATATAGGGTGCGGAAACCTCCGTAAGGTATGCCTTAAATTTATCCCAGGCTAACTGGACAGAGTCAGCCATCGAAATCTCACAGTTCAGAACTGAAGCCTTAGTTCGCATTGCACTAAAGTCCGCCCGCCAAATATTCGGAAGTAATTCAACAGCGGTCTCTTGGTGCTTTGAAAGAGCACATCGAAAGGATATGCATGCGTGATCGCTGGACCCTAGAGGTGCACCGCATGAAACGTCAGTCACGAAGTCCAGGGACTTAGCGAAAACCAAATCCATAGTAGATGGCATTTGGTTGTCCATATACCTAGTGGGAAAGTCAACGAACTGGTGCAAAGGCACTTGGAGAGTCAGTTCAAGGAAGTCTGCACCGAATGTTCCTAATGCCGAATTGCAAGAAAGATCGGCCCAACAGACTTCCGGGAGGTTGAAATCCCCTAGAACTAAACACTTATTCGCAGACTGAGTGCGAATAAAGTCAAGTATCCCCCTGGAGGAACTTCCAGGACTTCTGTATACCACTATAACTGTAAACTGGGTAGAGGAAGTGCACAAAACAGCCGATAGGGCTTCAACAGTCTGATCCGACGACTGGAATGTGCAAGTCCTCAACACATCTAAGTTACAGCTCACATACAGTACAACGCCTCCGCCTTGGCGACCAAAGGAGCGATCAGTTCTAAGCAGCGCGTAGCCAGGTAAATATACCTCACCGTCCGTGATATCCGGAGACAGCCACGTCTCAGTGAAAGCAAGTATGTCGGGACGAGATTTGTCTACAAGTAGACCCAACTCGTGCAGTAATTTGGGAGCGGTGGAAGATGAGAGCGTCCTATCCACCACTTGGAAATAACGCTCCTTCGGCAGTGTTCAGTTCAGTTCAGATGGGGACTGGAACGATAGGAAAATCCCGTGAGTGTTCCATCTTGAGTGGATCGTTGAGCCAGGAATTGATGAAGTGCTCAGTTATTGATGGATCTAAAACGGAAACACCCGTATCGCACCCTGGCCAACCAGTTAATGCCCACGTTTCCTGCCCTAGCAGTCCCTGCTGTGGCAGTCACGTGAAGTAAGCAAAGGATAGGAAGAGAAATCGAAGGTACAGAATAGGGAAGTGCACTTAAATAAGAAAATAATACCCGGTACACAGGGTTGCAGGTGATGTGATGTAGATTTGGCGACATTCAATTCATAGTGTTGATTATTAATGATTGAGTATGCTTGCTGAAATCCTACGACCTCAATTGGTAATCTATTTACTAAGTGGTTTAAATACGTTACGATGGTTAATCATTTTCCCGCCTCACGCGTAGCAGCCATGGTGGATGACTCGCTTGCATTCCGACGTATGCTGAAGGGTCCTTATCTGGACTTCGCATCGGTGGAGAAGGATCTGAAAGAGTTTCAGATTAAAACGGCGACATCCTTTGTTCGTCGGAACGTGCAATCTGCGAAGGCGTACGAAAGGGAGACTGGACAGGTGCTACCGGAAGGATGCCCATACCGGTATATTTTGTTTGTATGTGTGCATGGGAAGCGCAGCAATGTTACTGGAAAGCAGTAAGATTCAGATTCAGATTCAGATGGGACCGGAACGATAGGATAATCCCGTGAATGTTCCTTCTTTTGCGTATCGTTGGATCGGGAATTGACAGGTCTGCTTGAGATGTTGAAAAGTCTAAAACAAAGACCGCATCACACCCTGTCCAACCAATTACTGCCCACATTTTCCTGCCCAGCAGTCCCTGCCGGGCCGGTTTATGTGAAGTAAAAGAGTGAAGGGTAAGTTAAGAAAAGAAAAGGAGGAATGTCAGCTAAATAATGATAATACCAAGGTGAGAAGAAGATTAAAAAAGAACGAAGGGAAAGTTGAAGATACAAGTCGGTTAGGAGAAGGGGAAGGTTTGGTACTGCCACCCTAGAGCATCTAATTGACGCTCGAAACCCTCTACCGTAGACTCCCTAACCACGTGCGCTGGAAGCGAGTTCCAACGTTCAATAACTCGACGCGACAAGCGAGTTTCCGTCCTTACCCGGTCAGAACGCTGTTTGTGCAGCTTCAACGGGTGACCTCGGAGACTAGGCAGCTTGGCGGGACTAAATAGCCAGGATAAATTTGGACCAATCTTACCCGTTAAGATACGGTAAGTGAGAATCAAGTCTCCTCTAATTCTGCGGTAGTGCATTGAGTACATACCCAAGCTAAGCAAACGTTCGGGATACGTTTGCCCCCGTAATCCTTGCACTAACCTTGTACCCACTCGCAAAACCCTCTCCAGTTCCATTTTGTCCCTTACAAGACAAGGTGGACAAGCCTGGATACAGTACTCTAAGTGAGGTCGCACGAAAGCTGAGAACAGCTTCACAAAGATATTGGCCGTTAGGACACCGAAGGAGCGGCGAATAAACCACATCATACGGAACCCTCTACAAGCAGCCTTCCTCCAATTTTCCCCAGAGTGAAGCAAGGAGGTATGGGTGATACCTAGATCAACCTGCTGAATGACAACAGGGAGTTCACTTCCACCAACTACATAGCGCGTGGGGGGACTAGCACCTCCAATGCGGAGGACAGAACATTTCGCCTGATTTATGGGCATCAACCATAAGGTTGACCAATCCCAGAGCCTATCCAAAGCACTCTGAAGTGCCTCAGAGCCACCAGGGATATCCACAATATTCCAGAGCTTGAGGTCATCAGCAAACAATAGCGACGGTACTCCAAGCTCCTCGGGTAGGTCATTGACATAAATTGCGAAAAGCAACGGCCCTAGAACCGAGCCCTGCGGAACGCCACTAAGAACAGCTTGTCTAAGCGAAAGGCTACGCCCCACGCGTACACACTGTTCTCTGCCCTCTAGGAAAGCAGAAACCCATTTAAGGGCGGCTCCAGATATCCCATACGATCTCAACTTCAATGAGAGTCGCTGATGTGGGACAGTATCAAAGGCTTTCGAGAAGTCAACGAAAAGCACGTCGATGGCGTGGCCGTTGTCTACTGCCTCAGCCCAGCTTTCACGAGCTACAAGCAAATTTGTCAGACATGAAAATCCCTTACGGAATCCGTGCTGGGCCGCACTGAGAAGGTTAAACTTAATCAGGTGATTCTCCACCGAATCCCTGACCAATTTTTCAAACAACTTAACTACTACGCTTGTTAAGCTGACAGGCCGATAGTTCGCGGGCAGAACTCTGTCCCCGCCCTTAAAAATCGGACAGATGATTGCCTTCTTCCATTCAGAAGGTAAGGCACAGCTGTCGAGTGATATTGTAAACATGCATGTCAGAGGGCCACTTAGCTCAGCGGCCAATTCATGCATCAGCTTCGGATGAATTGAATCAGGGCCAGAAGCTTTGGAAGGATTTAGCCCTTGCAATAGCCTGAAGACTTGTGTCTCCGTTATGCTTATTTCAGTTAGGCAAGAATCCTCCGGAACTTTAGTGACCAGCTCAACTTGAGGTAGAGAGGCCTCATGAGAAAAGACACCAGTATACTGTTCGCTAAGTATACAGGCATTATCGTAGTCGGTATGCCCATGGGTCCCGTCCGCTCGTAGTAAAGCCGGTATAGACGAGTTTGTACCGCTACGTCTCTTTACGTAAGCAAAGAACTTCTTTGGGTTTTTACGGCTGCGTTAGCCAAATCCTCCTCGTACTGAAGACGAAGAGTTCTAAGATGATGCTTACATTCATTTCTAACCGCTCGATAGCTTTCGTAGGTGCTGGTTGATGAAGCCGCTTGGTAAGTTCGCCAGCACTTAGAGCGCTTCCTGAGCAGGTATTTACCTGTATGATCTATCCATGGAGGCTGCGCCCGTGTCACCCTTCTCTTAGTGAATGGGATGTGGGGAGCAGAGATCTCAGTGAGGTACGCTTTAAATTTCTCCCAGGCTGTCTCAACGGTGTCAGCCACGGTGATCGCACAACGCAAAACTGAAGCTTTGGCTCGTATTGCGTTAAAGTCTGCCCGCCAAATATTTGGACATGCCTCAGCGGTAGCCTGATGACACTTAGTTAGAGCACATCGAAAGGATATGCAGACATGGTCACTGGCTCCTAGAGGACAGTCGTAGGCAATATCACTTACGAAATCGTGTGACTTCGCAAAAATGAGATCCAAGGTAGACGGAATTTGGTTGCGCATATATCTAGTCGGGAGGTCCACGAACTGATGCAAAGGCAGTTGCAATGTTAGCTCAAGGAGATCCGAACCGAAAGTGCCCACCGCCGAACTGCAAGATAGATCAGCCCAGCAGACTTCAGGGAGGTTGAAGTCACCCAGTATTAGACACCTATTGGCAGCCTGAGTACGAATAAATTCAATAACCTCCCTGGAGATACTACCAGGACTTCGATATACCACTACAACTGTAAACTGAGCGGAGGAAGTGCACACAATAGCCGAGAGGGCTTCAACAGTTTGATCCGGCGACTGGAACACCCAAGTCCTCAACACATCGAGTTTACAACTCACATAAAGAGCGACGCCTCCACCTTGGCGGCCAATGGAGCGATCGCATCTAAGCAGTGCGTAGCCAGGCAAACATACTTCACCGTCTGTGATATCCGGGGACAGCCACGTTTCGGTGATAGCAAGTATGTCGGGACGAGATTTGTCTACAAGTAGACCCACCTCGTGTACCTTGTTCCTTAGGCTACGCACATTACTAAGCACTACCCGAAGGAACTCGGCACGACCAGCCCTGGGTCGTACGCTACCAGAAGAGGTTCTGGTAGGGCAGAATTTGACTTCCGGCTGACCACCTGAAAACCCACAAGACGAAGGCCTTGCTCACCAGCCGCCCGCCTGCTTTTGAGGCTTTTGATGGCTTCCTTTAACTTCAGTCGATCTGCCAGTGGGAGGTCCGGCTGAACGCTGACATTACTACCCTTGAGTTTGAATGCAAAGCGCATTAACGCTTTGCGTTCCTCCGGGGTTGAGAGGACTACACGAAGTAGTCGGGGTCGCGGATTTGGCGTGTCAACAGGGACGTTCCCCAATCTGGTTAATTTCCTGATATTGACACCGGGGAAACCAGGTGGAAGCATCTTGTTGACGCAGAGCTTGAACCACTGGAGGTCATCCAGCATGCGCTACTTTGGAAGAGCTGCCGCGGATTCAGCAACGTTACGAAAGATAACGCTACTATCAGTAAAAGAATCACCTCTACGAGGCGTATTCACTCCACGCGTCTTCGACGCGACCTCAGTTTCGACCGGTTTGGCAGATGGCACGGCGCGTTTCTTCGCCAAGTGAGCTGGAGTAATTGAGGTTGAGGCTTTATCCTCTGCCTCCAACGCCCTCACCGTCTAGTCTTTTCAGACTTTGCGGGTGTGGCCGAAGTCGACACCGCGCGTTGCTTCGCCAATGGAACTGGGGTGATTGGAGTTGGAGTTTTGTGTTCCACCTCCAAAACCTTAATGCTTTCAATACCTTCAGGCTTTGAAACAGCCTTAGGGACTTTCTTAGCCCTCTTCCTCCTGCTTTTATTGGGCCCAGGGGCAATAAGTTCGGTCACGCTTTGGACGGCTTCCGGTACGACATCAGAGGCCCCTTTTGAGGCATTCTATAAATAAATAAATAAATAAAATTTTTATTCTCGACAAGGCGAGGCACACCTTTACAGGCATGATCAAGTTTAGCTAACATAGTGTGATCACAAATGTACAAAAAGTACATGTTTGCATAACAGCGTATGTAAGTGTACGGGTGTATACAAGTATGTAATTTTGTATGAATGCAGCTTGTGTCTTTGAATATGCCGCAGCATTTTGACTGTTTGTTATCCTTAGGAATGTGAGCATAAGCGATTGATATCTGCGGGTTGGATAGCACTTTCCGGATATCCAGCGTGTATGGGTGTATATACGTATGTACTTGTGCATGAATGTAGCCTGTGTCTTTGAATATTCCACAGTTTTTGACTGGTTGTTATCCTCAGGAATGTGAGCATAAGCGATTGATGTCTGTGGGTTGGATAGCACATTCCGGACATCCACGGGCCAGTGACTTTATTTTGTGGCGAGTCACATCCGCCACGTCACAGTGTTGTTAAGCAGACATTTGTGGCTTTTTATAGGGAGAACGCTTGCCGGGCGAAAACCCACCACGTCCTGGAACACTGCCGCCGAACTATTTGCTGGAACGGATAAAACCCGAACCACCCAGCTGGCACCACGAGGAGGTTGTTCGGCTAGCCAGCCGCTGTGACATACGACACGGTAGACATCACCTCAGTCGGATTTCCATCGACAGCAATTGAGGTTAGTTGCGTGTCTTCCTTCAATGAGCCGACATCAATAGAGACTCCCATATTTCTCATCAGTAGCTCCATTTTCCGATCAAGAGATATGGGGAAAGACCACAACTGCTGGTTACCCAGCCCGATGTTGCTCGCTGTCTCCTCAGTGACCTCAAGAGGCGTAGATCGACGGCGACGGCATAGAAGACAATGGAACAGCATGCTATCGCTAGTCGAAAGCATTGCGTACTGATCAGGGCTCAAATCGGTGCAGGTCTCATGGTACCAGCAGTTGCATACATAGCACTGCATGCCACCGGACTCGTCCGTCACGGGCTTTGAGCAGCTCCCGCTGCCACATACAGCATTTGATTCGCTGATCAATGCAGCCGAAGACATATTAGAGCCGGTATTCAGTGAATCCGACATGACGCTTTCAAAGAGTGTGAAACAAGTATCAAAACGTAAAACCGACAAGCTGTTACCTGCAGGGCAGTCAACAGAAACAGTTATGGGTTAAACAAGGTGCAGAAAGGATTACAAAACACAAAAATACCGGAAAAATAGCCAGAGGCTGAACCCGAAAAAGATGGACGACGTTGGTATGTACCCGAAAACGGGTACGACGTAATCCGGGGAAAACGATGATCCAAAATTCTTTGGATCAAGCGAAATTTGACAAAACTCAAATTTTTTTGCACGACACTTGTAAACACTGTTCCGGAACTGTCCTTTGAAAGTAAAACCTCAAAAAGACAGCACGCTCAAAAATTTCAATTTACCGCCATGATAACATTACTATAGGTACCGATGTTACAATTGACTTGCGCGTTTTTCTGTTACGTATAAGGGCGAATGTTACGAAATTGGGAAGGCGTATCTGTGGCATTCGCACAGCTTTCAAGTTGGGAAGCCTTGGCTGTATGCGTGTAATCGGAGGCTAACAGAAGATCAGGAAAGGCTGGTGCTTAACTTAATGCGAACGTTTCGTCGGACCCAGGAGATGCGTGCCTTCGTGCGGCAGCGGTATGACATTCGTCTAACAAGGAGGGATTTGTATGTCATGCGGCGGCGTCATCGTAAGGCCCGCATTCAAAATCGCGCCAGTGGCGGATGTGACGGTCCCGTGGAAGATTCCTCAGCCAAGCGGCGCTCGCACTGTTGTGGCTTCTCTCGCTTTTTGAATGTGCAGATATTCCTGACCGTGTAGTGTTCTTAGCTTTTTCATATTTTGCGCTTTCCTCATTTCGTTTTCCTATGCGTCTTGTACAGTTGTTTTAATTGATCGTCTTTTCATATACATCATTCTCGACCTCGAACGGCGCGTTCTGCTTTCCTTCGGCGGCGTGTTGCGATTGCTTGGTTTGTGTGCTTTGGAAAGTCTGAGCTTCGCGGAACCAACACTGGAATCTCGTATCAGGGAGTGTGCAATATCAATGGAGTTAGTCTAACCGTCACTACTGAAGGTCAGCGTGTTGATACTTTTATCTGACGCCAATCCTTTCCTTCCGGTGCGGTAGTTTAAGACTAGTTTTCACTCCACTACATATTTGGTGACCCCTGTTTTCCCTTTTTTCTACTGGAACATTTTTTCGCTTGCATAATGTCGTCCAGTGCCACTCCTCACATTGACTCTTCTGAAAATTTTGTTGCTTTTTCATTACCCGCTTTTGACGTTAACAATGCACATGTCTGGTTTTTACAGTTAGAAGCTCTTTTCCGTTGCCGTATAATCACTTCTCAAAGTTCTATGTTTTCCTACGCCGCTGCCCATCTTCCCACGCACATAGCCGCCGATGTGGTTGACCTACTCGAACCTGTTCCTACTGATTCCCCCTACGATAAGCTTAAGTCTGCCGTTTTGAAACGCCTTACAGCCTCTGATGAGAGCAGACTTCATCAACTTCTCTCCGGAGTTGAACTGGGTGATCGTTCACCTTCACAGCTTCTCCGTTATATGCGCTCTCTCGTAGGTTCCTCTAAAGTCGACGACAGTGTCCTACGTCAATTGTGGCTAAAATGTCTTCCATCCAGCACTACGGCGATTCTCGCTGTATCCGCCGACGATTTGTCACTTGACAAACTAGCAGAAACGGCCGACAAAGTTCATGAGTGTTTCCTTCAACGCCCGGTTTGTCACGCTGTTGTCAACCCACCTGAGACTTCCTCGTCATCAGATGCCATTGAATCCATTTGTCAGAGACTGTCCATACTCGAACTCGCCGTTAAGAGAGGACGTCGCCCCCGCAGTCGAAGTTTTAGATCCACTTCGAAAAGCAGAAACAGACACGCTAGGAACACTGGACAGTATATTTGCTACTATTATCGACGTTTTGGTGATGCCGCTAAAAATTGTCGTCCTGGTTGCCCGCACCTGAAAGCCTTCCCCAAGGCTCAACAGGGAAACGCCCCAGCCAGCCAGTAATGGCGACGACTTCGGCTGGCACATCTTCTAGTCGCCTGCTTTTGTCCGTGATTCCACAACCAACCTTTCATTCTTGGTTGACACTGGAGCCGAGGTCAGCGTTCTGCCTCGTGGAATGGAAAAACGCTACCTCATTCCCACAGGACCTACTCTCCAGGCGGCTAATAACACGAGAATCCAGACCTATGGTCAGAAATTGCTTACTCTCGATCTTGGTCTTCGACGAACATTTTCTTTCGTTTTCCTGATCGCAGATGTAAAACGCCCTATCACTGGTGTCGATTTCCTCACCCAATTTGGTCTTATTGTCGACTTACGTAACAGGGAACTTCGTGATAGTATCACCTCCCTCACCACTCCGGGCAGAGCCACTTCGATCAGCTCGATCGGACTTCGCATGACTCTACCTACTAACACTGTGTTCACCGAGTTACTCCAACAATTTCCCGCGTTGTATCTGCCGTCCAATAATTGTCCCGCACCTAAACACGAGATTGTGCACCATATCGTTACTCGTGGACCACCGGTCACTGCTCGACCTCGCCGACTACCACCCGATAAACTCGCCAACGCCAAAGCCGAGTTTGAACACATGCTCCGTCTTGGTATCGTCCGGCCTTCTAATAGCCCATGGTCTTCACCTTTGCACATGGTCCCCAAAACGTCACGTGGAGATTGGCGACCTTGTGGTGATTACCGTCAGCTTAATAATGTCACCGCCCCTGACAGGTATCCGGTACCACATATTCACGACTTTTCTATTGGCCTAGACGGCAAAGCAATTTTCTCTAAGATTGACTTGGTCCGGGCATATTACCAAATTCCTGTCGCCCCTGATGACATTCCCAAGACAGCTATAACCACTCCCTTCGGTCTTTTTGAATTTGTCCGTATGCCTTTTGGACTACGAAATGCCGCACAACCATTTCAACGATTCATTGACCAGGTTCTCCGAGGACTTGCTTTTGTTTTTGCCTATATCGATGACATTCTCGTGGCCAGCTCTAACCA